AGTTGTTTTTACCTACACGCTTTGGTAATTTTATTAAAATCACTTCGAGTGGCAGCCGGGAGATTTGGGAATTTGCTTTTTGGGGACTCAGGCACGCAGCGCTCCCATAAAAGCAAAACGTAATGAGCCTCACAAAAACACAAACACACTCACACAGGGATACTCCACCACTAGCAGTGTGCTACACACACACACACACACACACATACATCTGCGTCAAAAGTTGGGCTAGAAAATGTATGAATCTAATAAACAAAAGCCGTATATTATTAGCTGCGGATTTGTTTGCTCCCTCCTCTGGCGCAGGCCGTTGCGAAGGAGTTATTCCCGGACTACACTTATGAGCTAGCTCAATGTTCTCCCCACCTCGGGCTACTCTCCCATCGCCTTTTGGTTGGCTTTGGCTTTGCTTGCGGCTAAGTCTGGTATCGTACGGGAACTGGCTGCTGCCTGTGGCTTGCTAGCATCTTCGTCATTGTCCCCCGGCTCCATTCGCAGCCTGTGCCCGGCTTTGCTTCCTTGTTGAACATGGCACAAATTATGTTGGTCGTCGGCAATCTCTGAGAATTGACTATTCATGAACTGAAGGCAGTAAGTGTGTCCCATTGCAGGGGAAGATGTGCGTACACACGGAAATGTTATCATAAGTTATGGCCAAAGTTTTCCACCCAATAGTTTTTGTAGCAAAGCGTCGCTTGACAGAGAAATTAAGAAAATAGATCACAGTCCTAGCTGGCCTTAACGTTTCTCTTGGTGTACTCTGCTGGCGCCTATCAACAGACAGGCATCATTGCCATTTAAATACACACATTTGGCCCAGTGCCTGTGCCTGAGCAATTTGCTGTACGAGTTGCTTGTATTAAATTCTGTTGCGTTGCCGGAATGCCACCGCACCACATCGGAACCCACGCAGGGGGAGGTGCAGAGAGTCGCACAAGCGACAGGACGAAACAGGAAGTGTTGGCTTTGTGTGTACTTGTAGCTCTAATGCACAAACTAATGGAGCAGGAGCTGAGTCCGACTGGCTGCCTGGCAGGTGTACATTTTGCTGGCTGCTCCGTGTGCTCGGCATACACCAACGATGCCAGTTGTACACGTACACACGATTAGAGGCGCATACCTGGGGGCTGTAGGTACAGCGAACTGGACCCGGAACAGAAGCTGGACCTAGGATCAGGTCCGGCACTCACTCTTTCCCTCTCTCACAAACGCGCAAACAATGAGACGAAATTTTTGCGCTCCTCCATCGGTGGAGCATCTTTAAGGCGAAATGTAATTTCCTGTGACAAAATACAAAGCTAATCCGCAGCACACACCGTTGCCGAGCAAAGTAGGGAGAGGCTTCCCTACCTTCCCTCTATACGAAACTTGACTAAAGGATTTTCGGTGTGTGTGTGTGTCGCAGCGACTTCGACTTCTACTTCGATGTCGTTGTCTATACGTGCAGCGAGTCAGAGGATTAGGAAGCCATAGATAGCCACAGCCATAGCCATAGCCATAGCCATTCCATGGGAAGCAGTAGAGCAGGTCAAGGCTTTAACTTCTCACACCTTGCGTGCGCTGGCCAGCGTAAGTCTCGTTTGCCATTTGATGAGCATCGCCACAGGACACACGAGTGGCAGGACAGCACAACAAAAGAGCCACACAAATGGCCAGGGAAACTTCAGCTGACAAAAATAAATCGAAACTTGAACTTTTCCATCCCAACGCCCCTCCGGTGCGGATCAGCTGGCATTGGACGCATTTGTCGTGGCAGGATTCTGTTTGATTTCTCAAGTGTAAACTGCGAAGGATGCGCCCAAATATCAATATGCCGGGCCACGAGTCACCTGCCCAGCACCACACCCTCCATCTCCACCATCAATGGCATCCAACAATAATTGAATGGTGCTTGCTGTGGATGGAAACACGGACCAGATTTTGCAAAGATTCATTATGGAGGCAGCCCTGCAAATGCATCCAAATCATAGCCAGCAAATGGGGCAAACAACCTGCTTAGGCATTCCAGCCAGGCGCAGGCCCAGGCACGAGCACGGGCTCTGATTTACCCAATTGTTACCCCTGATTGACGGGCACATCCAGACCAATGCCACCCCGCAGGCACAGCGCACAGTGGTCGCCGATTGTGGTTTCCATATCCCATTTAATGTGGCTCGTGTCTTTGGACGAGTTCGCATATTCTAATAAGGACGAGTGTCCTGTCCGTTCGGAATTTGCTTTTGACAGCAACAGTCCCTGATGCCCAACAGAAATCTCAAAATAATGGAACTGAGAGACAGATCTCAGTATCGTTGCATTTTGCTTCGTTCACCTGATTTGGCGCTGCTAACCACTGCACCGAGATACTCGTGCCATTAGGAACTCCGACAGCCAACGAGGAGATGCAGAGCAGAGACCCACAGCAATGCTGCTGGACAGCAGCACGAGAAATGGAATACCATGCATAAATTGTCACACGGAGCAGCAATGGACAATTGATGGCCCAACAAGTTGGCCTCTAGCCCGCAGCCCCTCCATGCCCAATCTCTCTCAAAATTTCGAGCTCCGTTTGCCTGTGCATGGCACAACATGGAGGATGGGGCTTGTTGATGCCCTTGTTTGTGCCATTAACGCTTCAATTCAAGTGGCCTCCGTCTCACAACACGGACAGCGGGGCACATTGTTGCCAAGAGCCAAGTGAAGGTGGAATTTTAGTTGGAAATTGGATCCAATGTGTATGGATTAGCTGCTGACTGTTGGCCAAAATTTAAGTGCCAGAAAGCCGCACAGAGACAAACACACGAAGGACACCTTACCGCAAAAAACATAGAAAAAACTCACACCGAGAGAGTGACAGAGTGAGAGATTGGACACACATTTTGGATTTGTTAATCCGCTTTGGGAAGCAGAATCAGCTTTTTCAATAACCCTAATGGATTTGCCATTAAGATTAAATCAACAAAAAGCCAAGAGGCAAAACTTTTAAGGCCAAATGTGTGTTGTGCAAATTATTGTTGGACAGATTAATATTTCGAAAAGCAATGAAAATAAACAAAATGGTATATTCCATCAAGCGGAATGAATGGTTGCACATCGTTTGGGGACTAATTTACTACAATTTACGATCTCCTCCTGATCAATGTATCAATTTATTGAACAACCATCCCAACATCTATCAAAGTTCTTATCTGAAACTCGCACTTTAAATGCAAATGCCAGCCTCAATATATTCCTGGGGAAATGCCCAAAAAAGTTTATAGTTCCGATACGCATTTTATATCGAAACTAAACCCAACATTCCTCCCGCGGCTTATCTCCCTTTTCCTCTCCCCGGCGACTGTTTAGTGGACCCGTGACCATTTTGTGTGTTTTTGCAGGGCGTCACGGCCTTTGGTTCACTGTTGCTTCATTATTTTGTTTGTTAACCTCCTGCTATGGCCTCCCCTCTGCTCAGTTTCTATCAGAAGCACCTGCATGCTGCACCAACTACCCTTCCCGTCTCTTTCCTTATCTCTCACCCTATTCGCTACTCTGTTCTCAGTTCTCTGCCTCTCCTCTCCTCTCCCTCCTCTTTGCTGCTTTCTATTTCTATGCATTCATGCATAATGGCAGGCAAACGTTTAGAATGGCAGCAGCATGGATTTCCGCACGTTACCATTTGCGGTCCATTTGCGGCTGTCGAATGGCGGAGAGGGGCAGCAGACAGCAGGGAGCAGACAGCATGCAACATGGAATAGGACACTGGGAACAGGAAACAGGGAACATGGAACAAAGAGCAAGGGTCACCGTGGTGCTGTTAGCATGATTGAAAAACGTGCCCCCTTCATTTCCGTATCCTGCTGGCTCTGCTGCATGCCGTGCCTGCCCCCTGCCCCACGAGTGCCATCACAGTTAGAATTGTATAGCTGCTGCGGCTGCTCTTGGGTTTTTCCCCATTGTTGTCGTTGTCCTTCTGTCCCTTACAATTACGTAATTTATTTTAACTGTGTCAAATCCACGCCGATCGACAGCGATTATGCTGGCAAATTGCAACAATTCCTATGCCGCTTCCACTGCCATGGCCTCTGGCTGTGCCCACAAGTCCCGCCTGCAATTTGTAAATGTCGCCGACATCCGTCTTTGTTTGCGCCCAGTGCGTAAGGGGACAGAGGGAGGTACAGGGCGTAGGATCTGGAGCGGAGGAGCGTTGCCCAGGCCTGGTGCCACTCACTTGACTGCAATTAACCGCAGTGTGCTAATTAATTTGCTCATAATTGATGCGATTATGTGTTTCATTTGTGGCCCCAGCCCGCCCCAACACGATACAAATGAGCCAAAGGCCCCGCGGGTCACATCCAAAACTTCAACCGTAAATGGAACAGGAGTTCATTTTAGGAATTGCTTCTCCAACAGAGCTCTGTCCTGTCCTGGTGGAAATCAAGCGAGTCTAAATGGGCCAGTCGAGCGACAGTTCCTGCACAATTTATTAATGGTAAAAGAGTCACGGCCAGCCTGCAGCCTGCACCCTGCACCCTGCAGCCTGCAGGCGGAAATGAGCCACAAATTGCAATCGGAAGTGGCTTTCGGTTCGGTTTCGCATCGGTTCGTGTCGGTTTCGTGTTTCGCTTTCAGTGGGTCAAGGCGGTGGTCACTGGTGGTGGTGGATCTACATTGCATCGAGTGTGCCTCGGACCACTAGCATTTGACTTCATAAACTTTATCCCGCCGGGCAGCATCCTGTCACGGATACATGTATGCAGATGCAGATGGAGATGCAAAAAGGGGCTGCCAGGACATTTTACAATTTACCCCGAAACCCAAACAAAATGGCACAGCGCCATAGAGTACCCGGCCGGACCCATTGGTCCGTTCATTTATGGGGGGAAAGGGGCGGTCGGAAATGTTAACGCTGCTGCAAAACACTCCTTCTATTTCAAAGGTTGGGCATGGAGGCATACACTCGTAGCTACACTCACTGGCAACACTTTTGGGCCATCTATTTGCGTTAGGTAAAAGGGTGAGGGGTTGGGGCTTGTACTTACCATTTAGGACATGGACACGCACACTGGCCACATCTGCATTCGAGGGGGCACAGGAGTATTTGCCCGAATCGGCCAGATCTGCATTCTGTATGAGCAGAAATGAGGTTGTCACATCGCCCTTTTCGGTAATTACCGACACGCCGCCTCTTGATGAATCATAATTAATGACCTGCAAGTGCGTAAGAGAGAGAGAGAAGGGTGTTAGTTCCGTGACTACAATTGGTGTGTAAGAGAGGGGTTTGTAACAGGGGGATTGTTACAGGTGTAGGTCTGTGTAATTTCGATGTGGGGGCCTCGGTACACATAATGACAAAACAATGAGAACATTTCTTGTTGTTCGATAAATGATGGAAGCCCCCAGGCATATTGCTTTTCAATTCACAAATTCCAGTGCAGTTTTTGACACACTTTAAAGACAGATCAAGTATTCAGATCAATTATTTCCAGACTTATGCCAGGTGTCGTTTTTCCAATTAGTTCTCAATAAATTATTAAAGAAATCCCCGTAATTGAATATATTTTTGATTGGTGCTCCCGGCACCTCACATCAATGTGTAAAATATTAATTTAAATTGCAAAATAATTGATGTAAGAATTTTCCTAATGGTATGTTCGGGAGACACACGGCAACAGCTGCCATTGAGTGATGCCACAAAGGAGGAAATTTTGATTTTAATTGGAGTTTGATGACTGACTCTCCTGATTAAAGGTTATCTCAGGGACATGCTACTACATCAAAGATCCCGACGAAACGAAAATGCATGCAGGCTGCTCCTGGGCCCCATTATGATTATTACTTTCCCTCGTTCGATTATCGATTTGTGCTGAATGGTAGGGAGGCCTGTCGATGACGAGACCTGCTACTAACAGCAGCTGAACGCATATAAAGTTCCGAGAAAAACAAATGCCGGAATAATTTGCCAATACAGAAGAGCAAGAGCCAAAGGCATAGCTCTGTAGAGGCAAAGACTGAGGCCAAAGTTCAGCATAGCAGAGAGCAGGCAGAGAATTGATATTAACACATAATGCCGCTGACAGGGCAAAGACATTGCTAGTACCGAAGAAAATCAACAAGAACAAGAGGAAGAACGAAACTACCACGGAAATGAGATGCCGACAACCCTTGGCCCCGAGCTTAGCTTCTGCTCCTGCTCCTGGCCATGGCCATGGGCCCTGGGCCCTGGGGCAGATTGTCTGCATTGGAGGGGCGCGCATAATTTGCCTTCTAATCTCAACTAATCGACAACATTTGCGATAGCTGCCTGAGGCATGAAAGAAAACTTTGCTTCTGAACTGATAATGATGACGATGGCTAAATAGATAAAGACATCAACAAATATCTATGTACATGGAAAATAAAGTGGGATAAGCCCAACAATTGATACCGCTGCAGCGGTAGAATATTTATATCGGAACAATATATATTTATTTATAGATTTATGATTTATAGATTTGTGGCAACTCAGAAATTACTCTAGGCTCTGCCTTATTCATCTCATAGGCCAATGTACCCCGTTGAGCTCTCTCCCAATGGGTATCAGTCGGGAAAAACAATGAAAATGACACAAAAACTTTGTCGCAGAAACTTTTGGCAAGTGAAAAGTTTTGCCTATCAGAAGGCACACGATATCCACGATACATATTTCCCCCACTGGCATTACCATTGCTGCTGACTCCTGCATAAATTTCATATTTGTATTATAATATTTCACCATTCGGCACAAATTAGTTAATGACTGCGAGGGGTCGTGGATGGGAAGGGTCTAGCAGCGGGGCATGGGAGCAGCAGACAATCAGCGAATCGGAATGAATGCGAATCTGCAGTTTGTCATTTGATAAATTGAAAAAACATTTTGCCACATACAGAGGGCACAGAGGCCCGTGGCTTTTTAAATTCATGCCGTGCCTTTTGCAATTTTCATGACAACTGCAGCTGGTTCTCTGTCGAAGGTAATGGGATTGGAGATTGGGGATTGGAATTGGGATTCGAATTGCCAGAACTGTAGCAGCCACAGCAACAGAGACAAACCCACAAAAGACACAAAGGAAATGTGCAAATGTGCCACGACAATGGCCAAAAAGTGAATATAATATTTGTGTAAAAATGTTTGTAGCTCATTGAAAATGCGCATATATCCAATTTATGTGGCACTTTCAACGCAATAATCGCCCGCATATTTCGTGCGTAAAAGCGTAAAAGCAAACAACAACAACTGCCGTAAAAGGCCTCACCGAAAAATACATAAAAGTCACTTGAAGGCGTCGGACAGACATTGAAATCCGAGAGACGAGAGGCGTTGGTGAAAAAAGAGAGAACAGATTGAAATTCCACTCGAAAGAGAGAATATTGAAACTGAAACTGAGGTTGAGCTGGGCTGAGGAGCGCCAATCCTGTGCTCAGCCTCGAGTGGATGCCAGCTGCTAGGGAAACGATGCCAAAAAATTTCAAGAGATTAGAGATTGTCCAAGTCGGGCACCAGCACATCCTCCACTCTATGCTGTGCCATGCCACGTATGCCACGATTGGAATTACCTGTCAAAGCGATGCCTTAGTGGCAGGAAACAGGACGTGGGATGCAAGAAGCAGGAAGCAGAACCTAGGCAGTGGCGATGGCGATGGCGATGGTGAAAATATGTAACACGTTAATTACAATTAGCGAGCGGAAGTGCGAGCAAAAAGTGTTGCCAACAGTGTTTCAGCGGCAAGGAAAACTCTGCGGCCAGCTAAAAGAGAAGAGAAGGTTGTGGATCCCCAGAAAGGTGCACGGAGCAGGGAGCAGCGACCATGTAGCATGGAGTGGTGTGGAGTGGAGTGGAGTGCAGTGCATCAACTGAGTTTATCCATCCATTAAACTAATTAACAGCAAATTTGCATGGATCGTAAATAATCCGTGTGCAAAGCAGAGCACAGTACGACACGGCACGGAACAGCAGGGTAGAGCAGGAGTTTGCCAAGCCTGCAGCAAGGACGCGTTAAGGTTCCTGCGGCCACACACACACACACACATAGCGGCAGGGACAGAGAGAAAAGGGACATGGACAGGTGGCCAAGTGCACACAATTGCGGCAGAGCTGCAAGGATTTTAATTAGAAAATTCCAGGAATACATTAAAATGCGCCAAGTGGCAAGAAGGCAAAGAAGAAGTGAGCAGTCCTCGAGGATCCGCGAGAGCAGGAGCAGAAGCAAGAGCAGGAGGCAGAGGCAGAGCAGCAGGATTTGTGTGCTCCGCATTTAGCATGTTGCCACCAAGTTTATACGGGTATTCCATCTTTCTTTTTTTTCAGCTCTGCTTTTTTGTTGATATTTTGTTTGGCTTTTGCATTGCAATTAGCGTGTCGTGCAACTGTTACGGACGCAGATCCGGACGCGGACGCGGAAGCGGACTGGAGCGCTGCAATTAGCCAGCATTGGATGCTCCTCCTCTCTGCTGCTTAACTTAACTGGGCTTGGAACAACAGAGCTAATTGGCAGATGCAAATGCAGATGAGAGCCAGGCACCGGATGGCAATCGACAAGGACAATGACAATGAAAATCCTAAGCGCAAAGAGCGATAATGTGGCCACCTGATGGCCTGATCCCAAAATCCTCCGCTTAAGTTCTCTCCGCTTTTCTCTCTCAACCTCTGCTCAACCTCTTTTTTTGTTGTTGTCACCCATGGCGGTAATTTAAACATAACCTGTCCGCCAAAACGCCATTGACCCAGTTCCTTATCCCCATCGCAATCACATTTGCATTTGCATGTGTGAAGGACGAGAGCGCAGAGAGCGCAGGCAGGACGCCGGATACGCGGGCGATACGCGTTGATTCACTCATTAAAATAACAACAGCTGACGTTTAAATAATGCTGACGGCTCTTACCGTAAGCCACACGCAGAGAGAGGACAGGCTCTGATGTGGGTCCGCAGACAAGTGGCGGCAAAAGATGAAGAGGGAGCGGGCTAAGGAGGTTGCTGAAATTCGGCTGTCACCAGGCGCTGAAGGAGATTGAAGTTTTCGATTATGGCATTCGTTTGCTTATTGGATTGTAAATTTCCATCGGTGATTGCAGCAGCGACTGCATCATCAAAGCGTAATTCAAGGAAAAGATTTACCGATGGATATGGGATAGCCGTTTCAAAGATACAAGAGGCCGGGACAAATGTCGAATTATTCAATGAATAAATTAGGCAGTTTGTCTGCAGTTCAGGCAATCAATATAAGGAAAAAGCCAGAGAGATGTTTGACATTTGAAAAAGGAAAGAGTTCATTAAATTAAAGAGATTTAGCTAATTGTTGTCGTGTCCGAAAATGATTATTATCCACTCCAGGAGCGGAGAGGACTGGTCAGATTCTCTCACTATTCATGGAGTACTAAAAGGTAAGGGGGAATGGAATGGAATGGGAATGTAACAATAAACTTTAATTACCTCCTCGTGATGATACCAGAAGATGTAGGCCGGTGGTTCGGGGCTGAACTTTACAGTGCAAGTGAGATTTATGGTGCTGCCTTTATCAACGTGAAGGTCAGGTCCTCCCAGGATGGTAGCCGTTGGCACTGTCGACGCGCAATGGAGACACCGAAAAAGATATAGAGCGGGAGGTGGGAAAATGAAAAAAAAAAAATAGAAAAGACAGAGAAAAAACGTAAAGAAGTGCATGAAAAACGCTGTTAAAATGAGGAGCAGCACCGGGGAACAAACAGGAGCTGGAGCAGACGTAGGAGCATGAGCTGTAGGAGGTCGACTGGGTTGGCACTGTGGAATAATAAACTACGAGATAAAATGGAATTATTGTCGTATAAAAACCAAGCCCTCGACGCTCCATCGACATCGCCTTGGCCCTCGCAGCCCCCTGCTCCATGCTCCGAGTTCCGTGCGTGCTGCTCACTCGTTTTCTGTGTGTAATTTATTTGTTCAACAACTTCGTTTTTCACTCCCTGTTCTTATGGCCATCTTTTTCTGCGTTTTTTTTTACTGATTCAACGAGTGTCCTTTGTTATTTGCGACGACAAATGGTTGATTTTTTATGAAGCTCTGAGGCTGAGGATGAGGCGAAAGTCGAAACCGAAGCCGACACCATTGGAGAGGTGTACCCAAAGACACGCCGTGCGGCGTCGCGTCGCTCTACTTACCGACAACATTCAGGCGGACGAAGTAACTTCGAACCGGCTGCGTTGATATCTGGCACTCGTACATGCCCGCATCCCTCTTCTGGGCCCACTTTATCTGCAGCGTCCAGTCGTCGGTGTCCTGATGGTGGGTGGCCTGAAACCGCTGATCGGAGGTGTAGGTGTACGAGCCGACAGTCAGTATGTGTATGTCGCGGTGGCGTATCCACGATACCTGCAATGGGATGAACGCAAAGAATCATCAAACAGTTGTATCGCACAGGTGTGGCTATAGTCCAAATATTAAATGAGACACGACTGTGGGATACGCCATGGCATGTCCTGTCATACATTGAGTACAGGGTACGGTCTGTTCCATTGGGCCCAGCTGATGTACCCATTTTTCCAGCGACAATCCCAATAAAACGCGTCATTAAAAATGCAACAATTGAAAAAAACAAATTGCCGACGCAGTGCCATCAAAATCAAATAAAATGTCAAAGTTTACTAAGATTAAATCGCGATGTACGGGACAGAAAAAGGGGGTAAAAAATAAAAAACCTTTTGCATCTGTGCTGGGTGCGACTACGTGACGTATGCGCAACGTGACACGTTCTGCCTGACTTTGATTCTGTTTGGGAGTCGTTGGCTTTGACTTGCCAAATCCCGGGATATACTGGCGAAGGAAATCTGTTCCTGCTGCTGCTGCTGCTGCTGCTCCTTCTGTGGATCGTGCTCGAGATGTTTTGGCTTTGCTTAATTATCGCAAACTTTTTAAGTAGTTTGCGGTGCACAGAGAGAGATAACTTTGTAAGCTGGCTGGCTGGCTGGCTGGCTGGCTGCCAGGCAGAGCCACGCCCACCAAACGTTGGCTTATGTAAACTTATTAAGTCAAATGTAAATTCAAAATTATCGCACTTGACAGGCACACACACACACACAGGGAGGATCTAGAGAAAAGCACAAAAATGATGAGTGCGTGCGTTTAATTATACCAAATTCTGTTGCACACTTTCAAGGGCCGCCTCGAAACAATGACGCTGGGACTAGCAAAGGAAAGGAAGGGGTGCGAGGGGTTTTGGGGCAAATTTTGTGAAGTGCATATAGGGTGCAATGAGTACCAGATACATGCTGAAGACCACTGACTGCAGCGAGTGGGCGGGAGTGCATAAAAGTGAGCAAAAACATGTCGCTCGCACTTTTGACAACACACACAGTCAGTCGGTCGACAACGGGAACGACAACCCTGCCATTAAACAAACATTTTACGCAACAAATTAAAGCGTAATTAACAAGTGCACGCTGTGCTGCATGTGGCGATGTAATGGAGCCACCCCTGGGCACTGCCATCAGTGCATCAGTGCACTGGCCCAGCCCCAGCTCCAACCTCCCATTGCATATTAGCAGCAACACTCCTCTGGAGCCATGCCTGGCCATATGAACACCAACTACGACATCCACAACAGCCATTTCAGCTGTAGAAGCAGCAGCAGCAGCAGCAACAACTGCTCGACATTCCGTTTCAAGTTGCAAGTCCATGCCCAGTGATGGGGGAGGGTGTAGAAGCCACACAGGGGAGCACAGAGGGGTTAGCAGGAGGTGGCGCACAACTTTTGGGACCGTGCAACTCGGACTGTGAGCCAAGTGCTGTTGACGCGTGCGGCGAGTGCAATTTCATGAAATTGTTTAAATAATTTCGCGCTCAAATGCAATTGAAAGTGCTGCAGGGCGGCGGCAGCAGAGAAGCGACGGGAGCTGAGAGGGCCGAGGGCTCAAAAAGGCCCGCCCACTTGAGGTTGAACAGTTGATGTATGTGTTAGCCACTGTATATGTGTGTGTGTGTGTGTGTGGGTGTGTGTGTGCCACTAGCAGGGGCTGCAAGTACTGCTGCCACTCGTCCTTCTTTTGTTTGGCAAGAAATTAAAAGTTGCGCCTGCAAACGGCATCCTGCAGCGGCTTCCATTCACATCCCCCCTCCCTAGCATTTGCAGCCCCATCTCCGGCAGGATCCAATTCCTGTCCTGCGAGAGCTGCTGCCTGCTGCTGCCTGCTGCTGCCACCACTGTTGGTGCATTTGTGTCAAGTACTCGCGAGCGTGTTAAAAGTTTGTTGGTTTTTGGCATTTGAGCAACGCCAACGCCGATGCATCCTCTCCGCTATTACATGTTTGTTTTAAGCTAAAACTAGCGAGAATCTATATGCAAATGGGATTGAATGAGGTTCTGGTCCTGCGCCTGGTTCGGCTTGGGGCGCCTCATTAATCGTTTCGGGCTGTCTAATTACTCATAAACCTATCTGCTGGGCATATTAAAAAAGTTAAGCCCCCTTCGCGCACAGACACTCTTATCGTAATTATACATTTCATTAAACACATTTAGCAGAACGAGTGGCATTCAGGGATCCAACAAATGACACAAATTGCCCTCCCACTGGGATCGGTCGGTGTCAGTCCCGTTCCCAGTCCCTTCCACATTCCCCCAAAATTAAATGCTACAAAGTATATAAACAGAAAATTGAAAATGTTTCCTCTTTTCCACCCGGAACATACGTATGCAAATATTTGTGATTCCTTCGGCTGTATCTTTCTGTCTCTGTTCTGTTTTTGACAGCGGGGACTGAAGATTAAGCTGAAGGAGCAGCAGGTTGCCTCCGGCTGCCCTTTCGTCTTTGTGGCACGGAGATAGAGGGGAGCCTTCCACAGAGACATTGGCACAGGGCAGAGGCACAATTAAAACAGATAAACAAAGGAAACAATAGCAAAACAACAACAGCCAAAAATTAACAAAAAAACAGAAAAAAAAGAAACGAAACGAAATTACTAAATTTCCTGCCAAAGACAAAAACAACTTAATGCCAAGTTGAAAGTCGCCTCTCGGCTCGCCCTCGCCGCAAAAGGAAAACAGACACAAGCTGGGGAGGGACGGGACACGGAGGAGCTTGTCTAACTAATTAAAAATTTCGCCGTCATGCTAGGGGAATTACATTTTTGGTCTACGCGTCTGCGACCAGGTTAGGAAATCAGCCAAGAAATCAACGGACGGAGGAGGAGCCAAGGAACCAAAAAAATTATTCCCCGCATGGAAAATAAACGAAGTTAGGGTACAGCGGCAAAACTTTAATGGCAAAAAGTGTCTACTTCGTATAGTCCTCGTTGTCGTCACGCACGACAGCAAACTTTTCGACACGAGCACGCTGTTAACCCCTGGTAAACCCCTCGTAACTCCTCCCCAAAGGCACCCACTCGGGGAATCTTTAAGCCAAAAAACTCACCGTTTTGTTGGCCAAATTGCGCACACGGCAGCTGAGATAGGCGTTCTTGCCCATAAGGGCGGTGACATTGCGCGGTGTCGAGGGATCGAAGTACGGCTCCAGCCATTTGGGATGCGTGTAGGCGACAGTGGGCGCTGTAGGCAGGAGCATGGCTGCTTGTGCTCTGTCTGTCGTTGTCATCATCATCTCTTCCAGCGTATTGTAGCCCTCGATGGGACCCTGCACGCCGCCATTTGTCATATCTGCAACGAGGGAGAGACAGAGAGTGGCAGAGAAAAATAAAATGTGTGTGTGTGAAAAAGTCAAAAGCTGCAAATAGACACAAATGCTTCTAAATCCTATGAATATGCATGGGGTTTGGGGACAGGGTTAGGGATAGGCGTGAGGATAGGGTTTGGGGTAGGGAGAGAGCTTTTATCTTTGTGCGGTGCACCACAAAAAAATATTTTAAAAGAGAACCCAAAAGTGCAGTTGCTGGAAAGAAATTTGTGCACTGCAAGAGCCCGCAAAATGGTTGCACACACATTCACACAAAATGACATTTGCATTCATTCAGAATGAGTAACACTCATGGCGACAGGGCAGACGTCAAAGCATGGGGTCGATGGTCCATCCAACCAACCAACCATCCATCTACATATCTAGGCAGCCACGCACAAAACTTTGCTCATTAAAAGCGTCGAGCGCCCTGTGTCCTGCGGTCGAAAGGTGAAAGGCGCAAGTGGCCCCTGGCAATGGTATTAGGTTCTGTAAAGCCTTTACTCTCAACTGCAATGGAATGATGACCAGCCAAGGTCCAAGCAAAATCGTTTTTAAAGCCCTGCCACAGTGTAACGTGACGCTGCTCTGTCCCATAAAATGTTGCAGCACTCAGAGATGGCAGTGCATTTGTGACATTTTAGTTCTTAGTTGACAAACTGAGACTTATCCAGATTATATTTCAGATTTTTGGTCGCTTTTATTTCCCCATTTTCTCTGATTTTATTATGATATGCATGGGAATATTTATGAGTCTCCCAAGCGTTGGGTTTTTGTCAGCTCTCGCAGCACTGTGCGTGGAGGCTGCAGCTGGGGTCTGACTCTGCATCTGCCTCTGCGTCTGCCTCTGCTCTGTCGCTGCCTCCTTGCCTTGGCTGTGGGTCTGCCCGTGCAACCTTCGAGCGAGTGAAGTGTTTGCGGTTGGCAAGTACAAGTGCATACACACCACACACACACTGACAGTACGCATGGCAGGCGGAATTGTGTCACAGCTCACAGACGCGCACGGCAGCCGCAAGTCTCCATTTCTTGCCAGAGACCCCAACCCTTTTCACTGTCGAGCTCATGGTTATGCAAAATATTTGCACTCAAATCATATTTCAAGGATTAAAACTTGCATTCATTTGAAAACGGTTTTTCCACATGCACACCCCCATTACATCCACACGAGGGGTAGGGCAGGGCAAGACACGCCCACAACTTCAGCTTCATTTAACAAAAGGTCCGTGCCTTGCCCCCTTCTCTGTGACGCCACGCATTTGCATGCATGAGAGAAGGCGGTGCCAAGGGCAAGGCAGGAGAAGGAGCAGCAGGATGATGATGAGGAGCAGAGTCTCAGTCTCTTAAGCTCAATATGCTTAATGTCGCCTCGGGTGCTGGGGTATTTTGAGCGTATGTGGCATTTAAATTAAACTGCTCCACTGCAATTGGCATCTGCTGCCCCACCAGAGAGTGCCACTGTCTGACTGACTGACTCATTTTGTATGGGTATGGGTATGTGTGGTGTACTGTGACGCTTTAGTGGCATGTTAACTGAACCCTGATCGAGTTAATGTCGCTTTTGTTCCCATCCAAACCGCTGCATTTCCATTAGGGATGCAATTTGTGGCATTTAATGTGGGATATGCAAATTAAGGGGAATTATTATTGACAAGAACGAGACACGTTCTAAGTTAATTTTATTTAAATCATTTCCTTTTTCTCTATCCGCATTTTCTGTTTTATTTTACTTTACTCAAAGAAATTTCATTTAAAACATTTCCCATTAAAAACCACATCTAAAGTACGCTTCCACCTTTAAAGTTCCAACAAGCCATCCATTTTCTATGGAAAATTGAGCCTTTAAGAACTGCCTATGAAGAAAAACCAATTCGATTGCCGCACACACTGAATGTGCCTCATTTGTGGGGCTCATGGGAACGCTGCCGAGTGTCTGTGTAGGTGTCTCTTCCTCTGACGCCCCTGTGCCGCCATGTATGTAGGTCTGGCTTAATCATTGCGTTGGCTAGGCCCAAACGGCAGACCCACCACATCAACTCCATTTCCATCTCCTCCTGCTGCTGCTCCTGCCCCGACCGCCCCCTTCCACATTCTGCCACACAATGACTTTGCATATTTGCCCTTAATTTTCGACAACGTTGACGAGCCGCGTGGAGCAATTAAGAAAACTTTTGCAATTTTCACGCTTTTGTTTTGGCATTCATTTTTTTTTCATCCGCCCCCATTTTGGTTTTTTTTTCTCTTTCTGCCTATAAAGGGGTGTGATGCCGTTGCCCCAGGCCTCGTGCCACATGGCCCATGCCACGGCTCGACACTGCTCGAAATGATGCGTAATGTGCAACACTTTGAACCGGCAGCTCAATGAATTTTGCTATCCTCCCATCCTCCTGCTGCCACCCATAATTGCCTGCTTATTTTGGTTTCCGTTCAGATGGGGGGGTTTCAGTGCGGAAAAGTGGTTCTGGGGGGGCAGAAATAGGGTTACAGCGGGGGCGGCCGACGCACTTAATTGTGTTTAATGGCATTGAATTTCATAGTAAATATCGTTACATTTCGTTGCCTTCTGCCATGCTCGATAATTAACAAAAGAGAACGATTTGGTAGAGCTGATCGACTATTAGATGCCCAGTACTTCGATTTTGGAGTTCTCAACTGATGATAAGTGAGAGTTGTTATGCCTTTGTTTGGGAAGGTGGAACACTTTTGGATTTGGTTATTATACATCAAAACATTCCTTCGTTAAACCTTTAAGTATCATAAGTATAAGTAAGTATAATATATTGATGGTCTTTTTTTTTCTAGCACTCGAAATACTCTTCCAGTACAGGGTATAAAAATCAACATTGGCATGGAATTGAGTTACCCGCCTTCTCCCGTTCTCTGTATCTCTTTCGCTCTCTCCTTCCATGCTCCATCTTCGCGTTTCCACGCCTTTCTAGGTTCTTCGTTTACTATTTTATCCCACCACTCATTTGAGATGACGAGGGCCAATCGGTTGCTGGGTTTTTTGGGTTCTGGCTTGGGTTTGGGTTTGTACGTGGCCTGTCTGCCTGGCTGACAGTGGTTCCGTGAATAATGATGCCTTTTGACATTGTCTAAGCGATTTAATGCGTGGAATCGTGAGTTGGCTTGAAATCAAATGAGCAATGAGATGATGATGCTCTCCTCCTTGAATATGCATGTGCCATGGTTGGCTGCCACTCGAACACCGCTCAACCACTCAACCACTCAGTCACTCTTTTATTTATGTCGAGGGCATGGTTGCAATTGGGGGTCAGGGTGCTGGGCTGTCTTGTTTGTGGCTGCCTCTTTACCTTTGCTACTGCTCCGCTATGCACCATGCTCCTGGCCTGCGGCCAGGGCGTCTTAATTAAGCTTAAATGATGCTGCAACATTTATTTCATCTCGCACCCCGAACAGGAGTAGCAGGAGCCAGAAGGATAAAAGCAGAGGCATCTTCTATACGCATGCCATGCATATAAATTATCCACGCAAATTACAGGGCACGAAAATTGAAATTGAGTGTGGAGGTGGAGGCGGAGGCGGAGGTGTCTGTGTGCGTGCCTGAGGTGGGGCGTGGCAATCGCAGCAGCTCCTCATATTCGCACACCCACTCCTCCACCGCCACCCTTTTTCTTTGCCTCACACATAATAATTTTTAATTCTGTTCATTAATTAGCGTCAATCGAGTGGAGCTTAATTGCTCGCATGATTACACACGAGGAAGTAAAAGGAAGAAAATATTCGTACTACCAGAAACAACTGAAATTGAAGCATAGTAATGAGCCTCGACTCGCGCCTCTCATCATGGATACATATGGATAAATGGAGTATTTGGCGAAGTGTGCGTGTCGATCCAATTAATAAGCAATAAGTGATTTACGAGTGGTCCATTTTCTCCTGTTTATCATTATGCTAATTACACTGCGCAACAAAAATAAACCCCATTATGTTTTTAATGCAGAGCGCTCCACTTAAGAACCATTTTCAGGCAACTCCGCAGGCAAACAGAGTATTAATTCCTGACAGAGAAGAATGCACACGAAATCCATTGATATTTAAAAAGTATTTGCTCTCAAAATTAATTTCACTGAATTCCGCAATTCCAATTCCCTTGCAAAGCAAAATGCGAAAGTTCTAAGGGAAACTCTTTTTCCCCACCCCAAGAAAGTGTGCCGCGAAAGTATGGAAAACTTCGCTCATCTTGAAAGAAAATAGTTTTCATATTAGAAATTTAAAGGGTTTACGCTTAAATTGTTTTTTGTCGGATATGCCTATGGGTCACACACACACTTGTACTAATAATCAAGAAACATTTCCCCCGGCTGTCGAGGGCCATTTAAGAGCTTAGTCTCGTGTTTTTCCTCTGTCGGCTGTTATCTTCAACCTTGATTGACAACATTTTTGTGCAACGCTTTTGCTGTCGTTGTTCTTGTGGTTGGCGTTGTTCTTGCTGCTGCTGCTGCTGCTGCTGTTGTTGTCGTTCTCGTTGTGACTTGTTTGTCTTTGCATAACCACTTCGTCTGACAAAACATGCGATACGACACGACAACAGGAACAGGCAGGCAGCGGCAGCGGCAGCGTCAGCCGAGAGGACAGGAAGCGAGCGACGAAGTTCTAGATACCCTAGAGGATGGATCATTCATTCATCTTTTAATTACAGCAACTGGAAGTTTGCTGGGCGAGTTCTTACAAGCCTCACTGGCAGCTAAATGAAATAGAGATGGAATCCTCGTACGCGCAGAGAGTTGTCCAAACTGTGGTCCAACTTGTTGCTACGAATGAAACATCTATGGAGTTAAAACTTCTACCTTTTCTACTATCCAAGCACCTGCTAAAAACCATCATCCCATATTTTAGGGTATATTCACCAGCACACATACTAAAGCATAATTCTTGTTATGAAATATTCGTAAAATTTCATACAAAGTACAAGCAAATGGCATGTGAGTAAGTTAAAAGAGCTATGCATGTCTCTCTCTTG